AACATGGACAGACAGTGTATGTTGTCTTTTTTTTGTATTGGCAAATCCTGTTGTTTGCAATGGTTTGTAGTTCTTTTTGTTTATTATTATTTTTATTAACTACTACATATAAAAGTTTTATTTACTGTCTAACCTAAGCTAACCTATATATATGTATCAATATTAACATGTTTACAAAAATGATTTGAAGCTACGAGCGCTTCTGATAGTAGGTTGTGCTATCACCTCCATTGCTCTACTCAAACTGAACGTTTTATCTCCTTGTTTGTTCTTTTATACGGTTAGAACGACTTAGTGCAGGTATTTGTCCTCTCCTGTCATTCGGATGTTTCTTTAAATTTGCCTGTTTTTGGGTTGTGTTTGGGTGAATTATGACTTTTGAATTTATGGATATTTAGGTTTTACCAGATGTCCATACGGTTTCCTTCATTGACTTGTTTGATGTTTTCTGGTGGGGGAAAGTTACGTTAGTTTTGTATGGCGTGTGTTGCGAGGTTTGATTTATATGTTATTGGGTTTATGTATGCTTTTTTATGCTCGTCATACCTTTGGATTAGTTTTTTCTTGGTTTGGCCGATACAGCATACAAAATGTCAATTTTGAAAAATTAACATTTTCACTGTATTTTTTTTTTCTTGAAAATAGGCCAGCCTTCTGCGTGCCGTTTTTTTTCTTTTTTCAAGTATTGTTCATTTTATTTCATTGTCAATTTTGAAAAATGAACATTTTCACTGTATTTTTTTCTTCTTGAAAATATGCAACGTACCCGCGCATAGATCAGCCTTCTGCGTGCGTTTTTTTCTTTTTCAAGTATTGTTCATTTTATTTTATTGCCCCCTTCATTTTATACTCGAATAAACCTGTTATTATATTGTTATAATATCATCCCAAGATGAAATGTGATGATCTTTAAGATATAAAACTTTTATCGTCTTTCCTTGTAGTTGCGGCAGAACAATTCAGGACCGCATCGACCCAATCGCAACATTTTCTTCAGGTAAACTCGATATTTTTGTAATTGAGTTTGTGCAAAAAAAAACAAGTGTTTTCCTTGACAAACATTTTCCTAGTTTCCATCCAAATTGCTTTTGTGACTTCGGAGCTAATTCACGATACTGCTTTCTCGCTGATTATTTCGGAAACCGTCGATATGGAAATTCGACACCCTTTCCATTATCTATATGTACCGACGGTGACGCTGTCTGGAAAATATCCGTTTACGCGGTAACAATCAATATTCAATGTTTGAAAGACAGCGTAACTATAGTATACCGACCGAACGAAATTATTTATCGCCGATTGGCTTTTACATCGACAATCAGGAAAAAACTAGTCAATTCGTTCGCGCATGTTGCTTTGACTCTTTGGAGCGATAATATCGCGCCTAATACGATTAGCACAGTCATTACAGGTTTCATCTGTCAATAACGTGTGCAGCTCACCAAATATAAGAAGAGCTTTCTGAATTTGGGTATGATCCTGCTCACTAGATGCGCGTTAGAAGACGACGGACGGTGCGCCAAGTAGCAATAATAATCCCGTACAACGGCAGTACAATGTGTACTATTTGACAAACGCCAGTTTTCGCCCTCTTTCGTCCTAATGCGTACTTTGTGATGCACAGGTCGCAAGTCTATAGATTCAACAAGTTGTACTTTTCTCATTTCAAAAACGTGGCGCATGAAATTTGCTTTCAAATACCTCACCTGTTTTTCTACCAAGCCATTCAAACCCTGTTTCAAACTAGTTTCATTGCACGAAAATATGTGGAGAAAAAAGGTAGTGGCCCAGGTCTCTGAGNAAACCCTTGTCGGATTGATTGTGTTTCCGGTGGTGGCGATTTGTTCGTAGAGGATGCCGTTGCGTTTCGGTATCTGATCCTGGGGATGGGAATAGCCATCGGATCGTGTGTGCCGGACGAAGAAGCGGACGCGAACGTGCGATTCCGTCAAGTGGTTTACGGTAAAGTTTTCAGTTTTGTTCGATTGTTTTTTTTTATAGAATGCAGTTTTGCGGCCATACTGACTTTGGCGATTAGAGAAATAGTTGGGATTGAGTCGAGTAGATATATGTCTTCATAAAAGTCGAAAATTCGGCAAAAAAAAACAATAAAGTGGTTTCGGTTATTTGAAGAAGTCATCATTTCAGATCCATCTTAGTCCTGTGATGTGTTTTAAATTCTACTTTTTCTTTTACGTAGTCCTTTGATATGTTTTTAATTCTACTCTTTCTTTTACTAAAATATAAACAATTCTCCTGGGCCTGACAATCGACAATATGTTTGTTTTGAAGTAAAGGAAAGCAATTTTCCCTATGCTTACCGCCTTAAAGAAAACGACCACGATTTCCACGTGGACTACGACAGATTACATACAGAAAATAATTAAAACAGCTTGAATCTTTGAAAATCAATGAACACAAAACATTTTAATTTCCTCACCATTGTTAAACGAGTTTTCATAAAATGAGAAAAGTCAACATATTCAGGACGGTTCTTCATGGAGAAGGTTTACCAGTTCCAACACCCCCGGCAAATCGGGAGCAAGATTTGGAAAAGTATGATGACCAGGCAGATTCCCATGATGTGCCAGAAAAAGACGGTTCTTATTTTCCCAAGAGTAAAGGAAGAACACCTCATTTCTTCGCACAACCTGAATTAAATGACCTAGTTTGGGACCTAGGGTTCTAGTTCTAGATTACAACAATGGAATTTACTAGCCCCTAAAACCAAAGTTACAATATTTAGGAACCGTAACCATGAGATATCCTCGTTTTTTATTATGCAGGATTAAATGTGTGTTTGTGTAAATCCAAATGATGTGATGGAAAAATTAGGATTTACACATAACCCGGACGAATAGCGTTTATTTATAAATTCGTCTGAAACAAGTTTAAAATCCGTTCTGCACCATAATGGTAACAAAAGACCCTCTACTATTCCTCTTGCACATACAGTTGCTATGAGGGAAACACACGAAAGTATGTCACTTATTCTAAATGCAAGAAGTTATAATACGTATAAGTGGCAAATATGTGGTGACCTAAAGGTCATAGGACTATTACTAGGTCTTCAGGGCGGATTTACGAAGTTTTGCTCTTTTCTTTGCCTTTGGAACAGCAGAACAAAACAGAGCCATTATCAAGTAAAATAATAGCCTCCGAGAGATAAATACACTGTGTCCGTAAAGTATGGAACAAATTCATTTTTAGCTAAACAGGTCATTTTAAGAAATAATCCTGAAACACGTCGATTTTTTATGTTAATTTACCGTATTTTAAAATAATAATCTAATATACAGGGTGAATTACGTTCGAGTAATGACGTCACCGTCATTTTTTTTAAATGGAACACCCCCATTTTGTCTCAATTTTCGGATAACTCTAGCTGAGCTGATTCCAAAAATGTATCACATGTTGATTCTAATTGGTACAGGGTGGACAAAAATACAGTAGTTGTGTGTGTGCTAATAAAGTAACGCGTAACATTCTTTATTAGGTAAATTAACAATATTATCAAAAATACTTATTGTCTAGCGGACAGAATATGCTGGAATACATGACTTTATATTAAATGTTCGAACTGCAGCCCTTGCTGTATTTGACAGTAACCCAAACGGTGTACAAATTCTT